ATCCAGTACCGCCAGTTCCTCAGAGAAGGCAGCAAGGTCCTCCCTCCACAGGTCTGCTGGACTCTTTTTCTTTAGGGTGTTCAGCTCTGTCACCTGTACAAGAGTTAGGACAGAAACACACGACCTTAACGCAGGAGCTAATAATCTAACATTTTAAGCTTAAAGCATCACTAGGTTTGCCGCATAGCTCACCTTTGCATCCCTCTGTTTGCAGAGCTCCTCCTTTTTCTCTTTTGTCAAGAACCACATGGGCATGCTCAGCAGATAATTGTAGTCCGGTCCAGTCGAGTTGTCTTTTTCTCCTCCTTCCCCCTCCTCCTCCTCCTCCTCCATCTCCTCCTCATTCTAAGAGAGTTCACACAGGTGGTTATTTAACATCCCTCTCTGTTGTAGCTGAACTTTGTTGTAACTGTCGGAATCAGAGTGTCCCACCTTCTCCTGAGCCTGTTTCCAAGCCTTGACTGGGTCGGAGTCATAGCCCATCTTTTGGAGCATGCGGATCAGCTCCTTCTTTGGCTTGTTCTCTGCACACACATGGACAGTATTAATACTAACCAAGGAACAACCAAACTAACTATAAATAACTATATCAGAAGATATACATGATTTTCCACTGTTATTGAAAAATGTGCTTGAAAAAACAAACAAACAAACAAATAAACAACAACACAGAACCTATTTGAAACTTTGCACTTACCAATGACCAAGGTGCCCTGAATTTTCTCCAGGATGAAGCGAGCCTGGTTGCTGAGCTTGGCGCTCTCTGCTCCCAGCATGCCTGCCAACCAGTCCTTTCTCAGCACGTAGTACTTCATCCTCAACTCAAAGAAATCTCTGATGATATCCTGCACAGACTCATACTTTTTCAGGCTACCCACGTGGTCAAACAGAACCTGGAAAACAAAGGGGAAAATGCTGATGCTTCACAGGGTTTGGAAATATGTGAACAAATGTTTGAGATTTCACAGGAAAGCAATAGAAGACTTTAATCATCCTGCTGTGAATGTGTGCAAATAAGTGGCAATCATTACCATCGAGTTGCAGGTGAGGGGGCTCTGCAGCTTGAAGACTTTATGGAGGCCAGCAGCCTCAGCCTCCCTCAGCTTCTCTTCTGTCATCTTGACCACAAAGCGCACTGTGGTGTCAGTGTGGTAGTCCTTGTAGTCTGTGATGAGAGGAGGAACCTTCTCTGTGCCATTCAGCATCGGCTCCAGCACATTCTCCTTGTAAGCCTAGACGAGAAAGTACATGAAGAGTTCAGCAAAAGGGTAAGATGGTATTTATTTGAGTCAATCTAATAAACACTATGCGTACACGTGGTAAAATGTTCTGGAAATGACTTAATTGACCAACCTGTGTCCATGTTTTTACAGGCAATTCAGAGATTTCAATAGTGGTCGAATCAAGGATTGAGATCTCTCCACTATTCAAGTACTGGTTATCCATCACCTGCTCAATTGTGCCTCTGAAGTCTTTATAATTTGGAAGCTGTAGGAGGAAAAACAAGCACTTAGTTTTTGCACAGCAAATCACCCAACATGGCAGATCTCAGGAAACCATCCTGACCATGGGCAGAGGTTCCTCGCCGTCAAGCATACGGTTGATATTGCTGAGGATCTCACGAATGTCGTAGTTTGGAATCTTGCTGGCCCAACCTGTGCCGATGCCTTCGGCTCCGTTCACAAGCACAGTGGGGATGATGGGAATGTACCATTCAGGCTCTACGCGCTGGTTGTCATCATAGTTATACTTGAGCAGGTTGTCATCCACTGCTGGGAAAACAAGGCGGGCGAGGGGGCTAGAAGTAAAGATTGGTGGGAGAATTTTCATTAGTGACTCAGTAACTAATCCATGTAAAAAACTCTCCCCATTTTGTTAGATTCATGAAAAAAAGTGCAGAACATGGACTGATAGTTCTATACACTTACATACAACTCATTCATCCACAATGCACGATGTAGCAGTGCAAGAAGTGACAGCGGTTTAACTACAATAAGCCTTCTTAACACTGACCAATAGTAGCCTCTTTTCGGTTGCTGGCTCCCTACATTGGCACTTCGTTATTAAATCTATGAGAAATCCTGCTTACCTGAGCATAGTGAAGATGTATCGAGGGCTGGCAGAGTCCTTGCCACCGTGCAGCCTGGTTCCAAACTGTCCCAGAGGCTGCAAGAGATTCATGTTGTTGCTTCCCACAAAGTTCTGGGCTAAACCAACGATGGTCATCATCAGAGAGACCTGAAAACAAGAAAAAGTTTAGAGTAAATACAACAGAAACAGCTATGTACAGCCAGTATGGCTTGCATTGTTTTTTTTTTTAAAAAAATCTTTCTATGAAAGATCACTGCTTCTACTTTCCTTTAAATAAACTTTATTTAACTGGAATCTTCTCCATGTGTAACAATTCAAGTTCTGGCAAAATTGACAGCTACTCTTAGATATAAGAATTTGATGGCTAATAACATACAGTATTCAAAAGCAAAGCCTATTTAAAAAGAAGTGAACATTTTTCTGAACATAAAAATGATACAGTTAAACTGAAAAGTCAAACCAAGAATCTAAAATAAAAACACACTGACAAAACCCACACATTAAAGCCACCTCACCTCTCCATGGTGATAGGCCGACATCTCAGCCACTGAGCCTGCCAGCTGTGCCACCTTCACCTCTCGCTTGTCATTCCTCTTGAAACAACAGTACAACACCTTCCTCTGACCTGGTTTCAGTCCTGATGTAAACACAAATGCATCCAGACATTAGACCAGCGGTTCACAACCTTTTACACCTGTCAAGAAGACTCAGCAAACCATTCCCTGAACACATGCTCAAATGACTTAAATTTTAAACTGGATCTGGACAACTCTCAGCTTTCTATTTCTCCATAATTACTTAATGGTTTTAAAGCTTTCCTTTTTTCTTAATTATCATTATTTCACGTACCATCCACCAGGCAGGGAATGGACCTCTCGTTATCAGAGTTGGAGAAAAGTACCAGCTCCTTGTTGACGAAGTCGTTGTACGACAGGGACTTGGTTGACTGACCGTACAGGTACTCCTGCAAAGAGACAGTAAAACAGTCAAACTTAACAGAACAGAAACAAGATATTGAGTTCACCAGTTGCACAGACATTACCTCAGGCAGGTTGTGCTCTCTGCGCTGGCGTCTGTTCATCATAAAGTTGGTAAGCCACTCTTTTCGCTCTTCCACTTTCTTCTTGCTAAAGGCCTTCCCAGAGAGAAAAAAAGAATTGTAAAAACAGACCCAAGAACTAATGCTCCAACTGTTAGTCATGGCCTACAGGATGTTTAAAAAGTCCAGATCAAATATAAACTGGCCAAGGAATGATCCACACAGATGGGTAACATCTTACAAGGGTGATAGCTTCATCGTCTTCAGGTCCTGAGTACTTGAATGGGATACGATGTCTCTGCATATCAGAGAAGTACTCCTTGGCTTCCTGTGATGTGCTGGTTCCCAAACCTAGATGGGCAATAGCCACAAAAGAAAAAAAGAGATG